GAAGAGGTTTACATGCAGTTGCCTCCTGGATTCTATGATATAGAGACAGGTAAGAAGGTTTGCCGACTGAACAAGGCATTGTATGGTTTGAAACAGTCACCCAGAGCTTGGTTTGATAGGTTCAGATTAGCCCTTGGAAAGTTCGGTTATGTACAGGCCCAGTCAGATCATACACTGCTCATTAAGAGGGTGGACTCCTCTCTGACCCTACTTGCTGTATATGTGGATGATATTGTAGTGACAGGAAATGACAATGGTGAGATTGAGTCTCTCAAATAGCTCATTCATCAAGAGTTTGAGGTGAAAGACCTTGGTACATTACGGTATTTTTTGTGTATTGAGGTTGCTAGATCTAAACAGGGGATCTTTATCTCTCAGAGAAAATATGTTCTACATCTGTTGGCGGAAACTGGAAAGTTGGGTGTTAAGTTTGCTGATACACCCATTGAACAGAATCACAAGATTAGCGCAGAGGGCGGGGAGCCTCTTGAAGACAAAGTTATGTTCCAACGGTTGGTTGGAAAGCTCCTATATCTCTGCATCACTCGGCCAAATATCAGTTGTGCAGTTAGTGTTGTCAGCCAGTACATGCATTCCCCTAGAACTTTTCATCTCCTTGCAGCAGAGAGAATATTAGCATATTTGAAGAGATGCTCGGGTAGAGGTATACTGCTCAAGAACAATAATCACATGAAGGTGGAGGTTTATATAGATGCCGATTGGGCTGGGAGTGCTGATGACAGGAGGTCTATCTCTGGATATTGTGCCCTTGTGGGAGATAACTTTGTCTCTTGGAGGAGTAAGAAGCAGAGTGTTGTTTCCCACTCCAGTGCTGAAGCGGAATACAGGTCAATGGCTAACGGAGTGGCTGAAATCCTATGGCTAAGATCACTATTTGAAAAGTTGGGTATTGACTATGAAAAAGCCCTTGATGTTGTATTGTGATAATCAGGCGGCTATTAATATAGCCCACAATCCAGTGCAGCATGACAGAACTAAACATATTGAAGTTGATCGACATTTTTTGCGAGAGAGGGTCTCATCACAAGAAGTGTGTCTCCTGTATATCACATCTAATATGTAGCTCGTGGATATCCTCACCAAGGCTGTACCAAGGAAGAAGTTAGAGGCAGACCTATCCAAGTTGGGAATGATAAATATCTACTCCCAACTTGAGGGGGAGTGTAGAGAACACTGATGTGGGCTCCACAGCAGTGGTCCCCACTGTGTTCGTAGGACAGTATGTGTAATTATTTGTTTCAGTCCTAGTAGTGTTAGTTGGGGTCAGTTTATTATTTCAGTTGTTATTTATTTCAGTTTTTATTTACTTTATTTGTCATGTAAGTAATAAGGGCAGATCTTTCTTTTTTTCTATGTACTGAACATAACCCATAAATACTAAGAGAGTGGCGGCGGCAGATGCGTTAGAATCTGTCCCTTCTTTCAAACCCTTGTGTTCTCCAGTTTCTCTTCTTCCTCATTCCTCCCTCTCACTTTTCTTCTACTTTTCATAACCTAAAATATATTAGAGTTCAAGGCTGATTGCAGTCTTGATCTTCTACTGCTTCTAATCCTATAATATTTCATTCCTGAAAACTATAATGTACTTCTATTAGAAGTACCAAAGAAGTATCTGACTTGTGGTTTTTTGCATTCAATGACATAGTTGTTCATTCTGACTTCTGATTTAACAATTTATATTTGTCACATATCCACTATCTTTGTAGTCTACAGACTTTTGAATTGGTAGAAGTGACAATAATTTCTTTTCTGATCATGCATTAGAAATTGATTTTACTTCCATGTTCAAGCATCTTGTGATGTGGTTGGGGGACGGTATGATTGCCAGCTTGATAATTGCTTTTCTTTTTTTGGTTAAAAGTGACCATTCACTGCTATCTTTTATTATTGATCTTTCTGATCATTGTATTTGTGGCAGAGAGAGCTAAACTCCCATCCAACCATTGATGCCCCTCGCCGGTTGCTTCAATTTGCTGTGCGAGATGCAGTTGGGACTTTAAGGCCATCAAATGCAAGAACAGAGTCGGCATCAAAACGTCTTCTTTCTGTGGTTTCAACATCCACAGGAGATTCGTCCTTGGGTGATAGATCACAGAGGATAAGATCGGTTGCAAGAGTACCAAGTACAATGAAAAGTGCAATTAAAGCATCAGCAGAAGCTGCTGAAGATGTAACAAAGGTTAAATGTTCAGGAAATGTATTCAACCGATTGGGACGGGGTACGAATGTGTCAGGGGCAACAGCCCAAGCATCAGGGTATGAAATACATACTTTGAAGAACAGAGAATATAGAGATCTTGACCAAGTTGGAGGAGTGGCTAACTCAGATTATATGCAAAGACATGATTATGGTGAACTGACAGGGAATATGGCAATGTTGGACAGGGGAGCTGTCTTGACATCTGATTCTGTATCTGATAATGATGGTTATGATGATGTTGTGGATCACAGGGTTATAAATGCTTCTCAGACTGATACATCTGTTGGAGACAAGGATGGAGATTCACTGATGGTGCAGTACAGAGTAGCTAAAAATACAGATGAAGCTGCGAGGAAAACACGAATGAAAGATCAGGATCCATCTTTGGCAGCAAACACTTCTCGTAAGATTGTGAAGATCTCGGTGAATGTAAATACATGGAAACCACCACACTATGAGGCTCCAGGGGAGGTTAGAGACACAGAGTATAGGAAAACAGCACATGACAGCGGGGTGGGTGAAGTTAAGCCTGGTATTCGGTTAATGAAAGAGAAGAACAATGTTGCAGCTAGTATTGAGAATGTAAGTAGCTACTCCTTGATTTGTGATTAAAATTGATTATCCTATGGGGCATTGCTCTTGTTCTTTTTATTCTTTGTACGGGTTTGCTGAACTGCACCTTCGACTCTGTTATGACTCAGGAATCACCTACTATGCAGGCTCCTCAGGAATCTCAAAAGACTGTGCCCCCTGCCACTTGTAAGTTACTATTCCCCTGCCAGAAGAAGTGGTGTAAAACTTGTGATTTATTTTTGGTATATTTGCTTTTCTCTTATTTATTCGAGATTATTATAGGGTTATTGGTTCTTTTGTATACCAAATCGCTGGCAACATGGCCTTCTCAATTTTGCTTTGGTCCTTACTTCCAGTTTATACGTCATTATCATCACTACCACAACCAAAGTCTTGTCACAACCATATCGGGTTGGCTACATTAGTTCTGTTCCGCCATTTCTTTTTGTTCAGTGCCTTTCCATTGTTAAATTATGAGTCCTTAAATATGTGCCTTTTTTTGTATGCTATTTCATTCTTATATCTTTCTTTGCCATTGCATTGGGTGGTTGAGTTTTTTCTTGCCCTTTTGCAGGTTCATATTCTACCAGTCGTCCTTCGGAGGATGCTGATTCTAGGACCATCTTTGTCAGCAATGTAAGTATTTCAAATTGCCAATGCAGTGTGTGTTTGGTTGGTTTCAATCTTATAGTTGTCGGTTTCCGTAGGTTCATTTTGCTGCCACCAAGGATACCCTTTCTCGACATTTCAACAAGTGTGGTGAAGTTCTTAAGGTTATTATAGTGACTGATGCAGCAACAGGGCAACCAATAGGGTTAGTTGTCACAGTATCATTTTAAATTTGCTTCTTTGTTTCCGTCTGTCTGTAAGTGTATGTAAATGCCACTGAAAATGTTTGATAAACAGGTCGGCCTATGTGGAGTTCATGCGGA